TCCTGATTACATAACAATACATTGATTATTTTGTTGTAATAAGGAAAGATAACTATGGAGTAGGAATACACAGAAGAACATTGAAAGAGACAGATAAACCATTAGGCTTTATAGGACTGCTTTATTTTTTTTAAGCAGTAGCTTTTATTTCAACTTTTTTTTTTTTTTTTTTTTTTTTTTTTTTTTTAATGCACAGGATTTTACTCAGAAATCCAGTGATTATCACAAATTACCCAATGTGATAGATTGAGTGCATAGAAGGAATTAGAATTTTTCTGAAAATTGGCTTTCTCATATCTGCACTGTTGAAAAGAGAGCATAAGATATATTGTCCCATCGTAACAAGACCTATTTTTTCTTTATTTTTAACAAAAATGATTTTTATAATTTTATGAATTGAGTGAAAGCTTTTTTTTTTTTTTTTTTTTTAAATGTAATTTTATTTTGAGGCAAATAAACACAGGTTTCTGTCTGTTTTTTGAAGTTTTACTTAGAAATGGCTTCTCATTTCTAGGATGAATTTCCTTACGAGAAAGCAAAAGAGGCACAGCCTTTGTTTGTGTCTGGTGCATGAGACCTCAGTCTTTTGTGACCAAACAGCATCAACTGATTATCACTCATATGAAACACCTGTAATTCAGTTGGAAGATCTCATAGGGATAAATATTTATTTTAAGAGCCTGAGCACAGATTGAGGTAATAAACTATAGAAATAGCTGTCTGTCAGGAAGTCACCAAATAGAATTGTTGATCTTTCATCTTTACTAATATAATAGACTTGCCTTTAAAAAAAAACATCCAAAATTGTTGTCAGTTGCATTAATTCCCTTAAGTATTAGAAAGGTATAGGCTTAGGAAACAACATACTATCTCAAATTTGTTCTGAGGAAATTAATAATTTGATTTCTTAGCTTTGTTGTGACTATATTGTGATAAAGTAAATGTTGACAGAATGCAGTATTTGCTTGAATAGTGGTAAAATGCAAGAGTAGACTTCATCCTATTTAGAACTTTGAATGTGACTTGTCTTCAGATCTTTTATTTTTCATTTACTGAGTACTGTGCTGAGGACTTCCAAGGAAAAAGAATCACAGAAATAATGTATTAAGAATCTTAATATTATGAATTCTAAATTAATGTTATGAAATATAGCTACTAACAATGTTAACTAGCACACTTTAATATTCTTAGTTAGCATCATGAACTGCATAATAGCTGTCATAGTTTATCACTGGTAGGGAGCTCAGCCCTACAAAGCCCTTTGCATACACCCCTCTCAGTGGGATAGAGGACAGAGTCAGAAAGTGTAGGGTACTAGGCAAAGAAAAAGCTGCACATGCTGGCAAAGCAGAAGAAGGAATTCATTCAGTATGTCCTATCAGCAGACAGGTGTTCAGCCACTTCCAGGAAAGCAGAGCTCATGGCACATAACAGTTTATTGGAAAGGCAAATGCTATAATACAAAGCATCCCTCTTCCCCCTTCTTTTCCCCAGTGTTATTTTCCTGAGCATGATGTCATATGGAATTGAATATCCCTTCCACTTTCTTGTGTGCTCCCATCCTCCTCACTGGCAGGGCAGGAGAAGCGGAAAAGTCCTTGACGCTGCATAAGCACTGCTCAGCAGCAGCTAAAACATTGGAACATATATACAGTTACATAATTTATATAATAAAATAATGTCTAAAACACCTTTGTGAGAATTGATTTTTCGACATAGTAAGAAAATTAAATTATCTCAAAAATGAAACAGAGTGTAATTATAGAATCGTAGTATAACTTAGATTAAGAAATAGAGTAAAAAATCCAGTAATTACTATTTTTGTACTAGCCATAGATCAAAAACATTAAATGTAAAAATATACAGCACTGCATAAATATATAAACTGTATTTTATCTAAATCCATTACAGTCAATGTGAAAACACTCAGCAGCTGTGAGGGAAGAGAATAAAATATTGATATTTAAACTAATGAGGTTAAATGTGAACATATGATATGTTCAATTATAATACAAGTTCAAGAAATATCTCAGACTGGTACACATTTTAATGCACTTCCTGATAAAATTTTAATGACTGCCATTTTTATAAAGAGCAGCAGAATTTGGGAGATGGTCATTTTCTTGTGGAAAAAGAAAATAAACTTTAAGACTGTTTTCATTTGCAATTTATTCATGTGCAATTTCTTTGCAAGCATTTATATCAAGCTGTTGACTTCGGTCACCTACAGTTGCCCTATTTAAATATGATGCCCTCAAGGAACAAAAATATCTTCTGTTTTCTGCATACATCTTTTTCTCTTCCATCTATGCCCTGTATTATTTTAATAAGAAAAAGGACAACCTAGCACTTTGAATCTCCATCCACTCATATTACATTGTTTTAATCTGACTATAGTATTAGTATTTATTTAGTGTTTTTTTGTTTGTTTGTTTGTTTTTCCCGAAAGGATTTTTTTTTTTTCTTATCTGAAATCCAGACACATGCAAAGGGTTTTCCTTCTTTGTAACTGAAGTTCAGTTCATGATTGGCACCTAAAATCGGAAGCAGCAGTCTGCTGTTTACATGTACCAGTTAGTAATGTTTTAGGTATCACAAAATGTATTACCTGCCAAAAGCTGACAGACTGATAAAGGAAATTCACACTTTATTCAACAGCAATTGAAGTCCAAATGAAGTAGCTGACAGTCCTTAAAATAAATCTAGCTGCCTGTGTTTAGATAATGGCATTGTAATTTGCATATGTTTGTATATTTGTGGAGAGGACTGAATATTCCTGCTTCTCAGCCACAGCTGCACTTCAGAAACAATTGGGAGTCCTAAATAAATGTTGTACAAGATCTTCCAGACTGTACAGATGTGGTGACATATGCAATTAAAACCTGCTTTAATTTGTTATAAGCAGCAGATCATAGGGATCATCATCTAGAAGTAGAACTCAATTGCTTAAATATGGTCATTGAGAGTTTGATCCAATTCTGGATGCCTTAGGGTATCTGATATAAGGATCTGGTGATTGTGATGCAGAATCTGCATAACAGTTAAAGTTTTCTGGACTGGTATCAGTGATATCTCCAAATTGTTCAAAAAGGTGCGACCTTAGGAGATCTCTAGTCAAAATGCTAGCTCAAGCACGGTCAGGTATAAGATTAAACCAGGTTGCTTAATCCAGTGATATCTTGAAACTTTCAAGGGTGTTTTATAGCATCTCAGATGCCACTGGATATGTCTATGCAGGCAAGTGATTTGAATACTTAACACAATTTGTAGCTTTATTTCATATAAATATATATATATATTTTTTTAAACTTTATTCACGGACCGTCTATATGTAGTAACCTCTTATAGCTTTTATGCCAATGAAGAAGATAGACACATTATAGAAACGCAGAATCATAGAAACACCAAGGTTGGAAAAGACCTACCAGATGATCCAATCCAACCATCCACCTATCACCAGTATTTCCCACTAAACCACATCCCTCAGTACAACAACTAAACATTTGTTGAACACTTCCAGGGATAGTGACTCCACCACCTTCCTGGGCAGCTCGTTCCAGCATCTGACCAGTCTCTTGGAGAATTATTTCCTAATGTCCAATCTTAATTTCCCTTGGCATAAATTGAGGCCATTCCCTTTAGTCTTATTGCTAGAGACGTGGGAGAAGAGGCTGACTCCCACCTCACCACAGCCTCCCTTCAGAAAGTTGTAGAGAGCAATAAGGTCACCTCTGAGCATCCTCTTCACCAGACTGAACAGTCCCTGCTTCCTCAGCCATGCCCCATAAGACCTGTGCTCCAGACCCCTCACCAGCTTTGCTGCCCCTCTCTTAACATGCTCCAGGCCTCATTGTCTTTCTTGTAGTGAGGGGCCCAAAACTGAACACAGTACTCGAGATGTGTCAGCTCCTGCTGACTGCACTATTTCTGATACAAGACATTTCTGATATCACTGGCCTTCTTGGCCACTGGGCACACTACTTGCTCATGTTCAGCCAAGCATCGATCAACACCCCCAGGTCCTCTTTTTCTACATAGTCTTCCAGCCACTCAGCCTCAAGTCTGTAGCACTGCCTGAGGTTGTTGTGGCTGAAGTACAGGACCTGGCACTTGGTATGTTGAACTTCATCCCATTGGCCTCAGCTCATCTATCCAGCTTGTCCAGATCCTCTGTAGGGCCTTTCTACCCTCAGGTAGATCAACACTTCCTGTAATGAGGGTGCACTCAATTCCTTCATTAAGGTCATTGGTAAAGGTATTGAATAGGACAGGCTCCAGTACCAACCCACAGGGACCACCACTCATGAGCCATCACCAGCTGGATTTAACTCCATTCAGCACCACTCTCTGGGCCCAGCCATCCAGCCAATTCTTTACCCAGCAGTGTGTACCTATAGTCCTAGCTATGGGTGCCAGCTTCTCTGGGAGAATACTGTAGGAGTATTCATGCTGTCTAGGCCTGATCTCCCACTTGTTCCACACATGCCGTTTCATTTTCCTCAAGATGATCTGCTCCATTATCCAGATTATTAATCCTTTATTTTGCCAGTAATGCAGGAAATCAATAAATTCAAAACTTGTACAATAAAGTTTGTTTCTTTGTTTGTAGGTGTTTTCATTATTATTTTGTTACAAGTAAAGGATGCATTACAAAATACTGCTAATGTTGTTATGTGGAAATGTTGTGTAACTGCATGTTCAGTCAGGATGATTACAGAGATGCCTTCTAATCTTTTCAATGTTATGTTGGGAACCTACATCTCCTGGAGGCTGAAGCATACAAGAAAAAATTTTTTCTTCAGTGTTTTCAGTAAGAGACAGATGGCAGTCTTAAGGGATGGTAAAATAACCTCAGTTAAATATTTATTTTCTTCTTTCATGTCCTTCAAAAAAATAAATAAATAAAAAATCCCACAAAAGACTATGTTCTGTACTAAAATGATAAGCATATGACTTCAGTTTTGTGATCTAGGCATTTTTTATTATCTTGTCATTCACAGATCCTGGCTGACCTAGAAAACCATGCACTTTTTAAGGATGACCTAGAATGCCAGAAACTTATTCTGGAAGCCATGAAATATCACCTTTTACCAGAGAGAAGAACTCTCATGCAAAGTCCACGAACTAAACCTAGAAAATCTACAGTTGGGACGCTTTATGCTGTTGGAGGAATGGATAACAACAAAGGTATTAAATGATATTTGTTACCTTATAAAAGTTATATTTTGTGTTTACTTTATTATAAAATAGTGAAATAACTTTCTATTCTATGTTTAGGGTGGAGAAGGAGCATATGTAAGTCCGTGTACAACTGGTGCCAAAATCCAAGTCAGGAAAACTAACAATAGTTTCGGTCCAATTAAGATCTACTTACATTTAAAGAAAAATGTAATGTTAGAGAACTGAAACTGAGTTTTGAGTTCATTCTTTGCTCAAAATTACTATGATTTCCAAGAATTTAAACAAAGCATCTGTAGCAACATTCATAAAAAAACCCAAAAAACAACAAACAATAAAGTAGAACTCATATATTGAGATAAAACTATTTACTAAGACAAAGAAAAGGAAAAGGATAATAATTACAACAAATGAACTTGTATGTGAATGTATATAACAAGTGAAGTGAAAGCAATTTCTCATTCCCCTCCCCATCAATGCCAAGTCGTTTCCTGAACAGTTGAAGTGAGTGAAATGAATTGCCACTTCCTTCAAAACTCCTGCATGATCTAATATGGTACAGAATTTGCCCATAGCCCAGTTTAATTTAGCTGTCCTAATTCTGTTCCCTCACATCTCCTTGGGCATGTAGAGGAAATCTTGTGTCATGGCCTGAAATAACGATTGAGCACCTGGTGAAGGGGGTGACTGATCTAGGAAGTATAGATTCAAATAATTTAGCTGTGCTTCCCACCTGACCAGAAGGAGTGGACCTTGGGTCCTCTCCCCCCACTCCCCACCCACCCTTGCTGGGCTCATTCTTGGGTTAACTTCATTAAAGGCTGGTCCTGGGAAAGAAGGTATGTTTTACAGGCAGAGATCCTGTCAATAGTTGGATGAGTCAGCTAGTCAGCTTTTCTTTTTTTTTTTTTTTTAATTGGTTTTCCCAATAATACTTTGCTTGGCATTGCAAAGAACTTGTCAGAAGCAGTTCCGATACTCTGGAAGGTAAACAGGGCCTTTGCTGAGAATGGCTTTGGCTCTATACAGTGCTGCTTAGCCACAACTATAAATGTTGGTGTGTTATCAGCATTGTTTTCTCCTAGAACCAAAGCATACCACCATGCCAGATGTTCTGAAGAAAACAATTTTATCCCAATTGAAATTAAGGTGAATCTTACGCATCAATCATACTTTTCAGGTGCAAAATGTTATTAGTCAGTTAGAGGAAAAGACTGGACAACAAGCTTTAGCTGGGTTCCCACTTCCTCAGCATCTGAAGAGGAGTTGAATTATGCTATTAACTGCTTTTAAAAAAAGTAAGAAGTAATAGAAATGTTATCAAATATTTTATAATTATTTTTGTGGGCATAGCAGTTATGATTAAGAAGGCTAGTCCACTGATTTTTTGACTGAAGTAAGATATTTGAGGTAAAAGCTGTCTGTCTAGTAAGCCTATGTTTTTGGGGAGGTTTCCGTTATTAATTTGTCTTGAAATTCAGTAACAATTCCACAGTATCCTACAGTCTATGTGAATATTCAGACTGAAGGATATGCCTTCAGAAGCCAGAGTTCTACTGTAAAAGAATGTTCTCAAATAAATAAATAAATAAATAAATAAATAAATTGTATACAATGAAATTAATCCATGATCCATGTTTAGGGTTAATTCTTGAAGTTGTTCTGCTGCATAGTCAGGGTAATATCATTTGCAAAAGGGAAATTTTTCCCACAGAATTACAGCATCAGGAGAGTTGCATGTGCCTGTGTGGAAAAAAATAGTGTTGAGAGAATAGGAAATTTTTTGATCCACTTTTGAGGAATGAACCGGTACTTGTATATTCTTAATGTAGCTGCAGGTTATTTTTATCCTTTTAACATTTATAAGTGTTTGTGCAGCCAAATGTTAAGCATGCTTTCACATCATAAAATGTGTTGAAACAGTTTTTGTCTTAATTAAGATAAATGGCTGTGAACACCATAAGTATTTGCATACAGGGAATGCCTGTAAAAACTATTTAGGGGCAGCTGTATTTTTTTCAGCTCAACGTATAAGTCTTATTCTGGTTCATATAGTAAATCAAATACAGAAATATCTATCAGTACTGCGGAAGTGTAGCATCCATTGAAGAATCACGGTCAGTTTTGCAGATTCAGACCAGGCATGAGTTTGTTTCTGTAGCTTGTAGAGAGAAAACAATGCAACAGATGTTCAACCCAACCCTCTGTCAATATGAACTCTGACTTAAAACAAATGTTCTAGGGCTTATATACATTTACAACAGATAAAAAACTGCTTTGAGAAGAGGCCTGGTAGAGCAGATTGCATCTGCAAAAGAGGGTGTTACAGCTTATGTAACATGTTCCTAATAACTCTGCAGCCATGTTGCACTGGCTTGCATCTGTTCAGTTCATCCCATATGATGCTGCCATATCCAGGACTATGTTTTGGGTGCTGGGAGGCTTGATTCTCAAATCTGAGTGCTGGTTGCATGTTTTGAAGAACTACTGTGAATTAGTACAGTGCATCTTAGTCTTCAGGTCATGAGATGATGCAGATCTTTCCTCATTAATTAGTATTTTCTCCACAACTTTCTCCAAAGAAATGCTGACATGGATTACTGCTACTTGCAATGGTGTGTTTTTAATGCTTTTTGGCGTTCGTTACCAGATATGAAAGTTACATGTAAGATGGAGATGAGCTAAGCACATTGTCAATTTAAGAGCTTGTATATAAAGCAGTGGGTAACTGCTGGTATTGTGAAAGTATTTCAAGGTTATGTGGCCCACTTCATAAAAGTAGCCTACCATGCTAAAGCGAGTTTGTTTTGCAATCTCTTCTATAATTATTCTGCTTTCCATAGAAGAAGTGATAATTAAACTCCAGCAGACAGTGACTGGAATTATGCCTGACATGAAAAGTTAATGTAGCATAGTACTAACTGGATAGAATGAAATGGAGCAAGGTTAGATAATTTAATAATTTTAATTCCCAACTTCTGAAAACCTCATTTAAATGTCTTTTCACCCATTTTTGTTTACTTATCCATTTGATTTAAAAGACACATATAATCTGTTTCTTTGTTTCTTATCTAGGCTGTATTAATAGAATGAGAGGAATGTTGTGATTCCAGGAACATGCTTCTGATAATACTCCGTTCTCCTTACACATCCATTTAGTCAAATTAACTTCTGTAACTTGAATTAGCAGGATTTAGTCATCTAGTAATAGACAAAAAATGTCTAGACACACATAAAAAGGAGAATGTTAGGCTGAAATAAATGAGTAAATGCATGAAGTGACATTTGTCAATTTCTGAGAATGCAAAAAAACTGACATTGGTCTTGCAATCCCAAACAGAACAAAAGTTGTGTGGTAGAACACAATCTTTACAGTCTATCTTAGGAAATGCATTTTAAAATTACAATAGGAGGAATATATTTAGACAGCTAGAGGAGATTTGTATAAACAATTGAACAGTGTTATGTTGATGACAAAATATGAATGATGTCTACTGAAATATTTCAACCTGTCAATACTAAGGAAAATGAGTATCCTTTGAAAAACAAAGCAGAAAAAAAAATGATCCCAGAAGACTGGTATATAATATTTTTGGGAATCAAAGTCCTAGATTATTTTGTGACTTGCTGAATCACAGTCTTTAAGTAAATACAAGGAGAAAATACAAGGAAATAATGAAAAATTACTTAAGCAAAAAACCTCTTCCAGGAAAATGACATCTCATTAACAGAGGACAGAGTTCATTTACTGATTATTAAATATGTATCTATTCTTTAGTCTTGTGATTAAATATAAAATATATCTGGAGAATTACTTTGGTATTATGTAAAGTGCATCATCGGTCTATATCAAACAACCTTAGAGATTTTGTCATGATTATTTAGGGCTGCGTAGAAAGATCATTACCTTCACTACAGCAATAAGAAAAAGTGAAGCTTTTGAAATGTGAAATTTTAAGGTCTTCAGTCACATCTGCTTAAATTCCTATGTTGCATATTTTTCCTTTTTCTGTACTAGTTCTCAGTCACTTGTAATAATCCTTTCAAATGTGCTTTATTTCTTTTTTATGTAATATTTATTATAACTACATGAAATTGCTCTTTTTTTCTAGTGAACTTCTAAAATGCTCTTTTCTCATTGTGTTTTTGTTGTTGTTGTTGTTGTTGTCACTTTTTATAAAGACTTCTTGCATCATGCTTTCCTTGAACCTCATTTATTTTAATTGTAAATTTTTCATTCTCGTATAGACATGTTTTAAATACTGAAAGATGTATTGTCCAACCTACTGATGTTCTTAATCTTTTAGGAGTCTACTGGAAATACTGAAAATTAAGGCAGAAATAATGAAAGCATCTCGGTTTTCCTCTTAGTTAATTATTCTTGGTCTCCGTAAGAAATGTGCTTGAGATACTGAGATGGTTTTATAGCATTTTGTATGCACTTTATAGCATTTTTCAGGTTTGGAATTTACTACAAACCATGTTGCCATCACATATATAAAACAATATTCATGAGACATTTTGTGTACATAGCGATATGGAGAAAGCATTTTAGATGTGATATTAGGTAGGAAATATTTCTTCACTTAAAGGATTGTGAAGGTTGGAACAGGCTCCCAGGGAAGCTTAGCCAACATCCCTGGAAAAATTTAAAAGATGTCAAGATTTGGTCCTTAGGAACATGGTTTAGTGGTAGACATGCTAGCTTAATGGTTGGATCTGATGATCTTAGAGCTCTTTTCCAACTAAATGATTCTATGTATCTAAACACTCCAGGAGTTGATGCTGAGACCCCACTGCCCCCTGCAGTTGCCACCACGAGCCACGTCACCCACATCCAACCTGGCTTCAGCAGGTAGTAGTGCTCTGTTCCCTCTCCAAGGTCTCACCAAGAGATGGCACTGAGCCCTTGGGATAGGGATGGGGAACAAGATTATTAAAGGTTTTTTTTTTTGGTTTTTGTTGTTGTTGTTTTTTAAATTATTATGCCCCTAAGTGCTATATCCACA